CAATATGTGTAAAAAAAAAAAAAAAAAAAAAAAAAAAAAGGATACCTCCTGCCCTACCTACCTCATGCAATGGTTGAAAGGATCAAATGACATAGTGGATAGGAAAGCCAAAAAGTGGAATACCTGTGTTAGGTATGATTAATACTTATACACACACTATCTCAACTCCTAATCAGACACTGCCTTGTTATTTCAATGTTCTTCACATGAGTCTGACATACTTTTAGGTTCCTTGAGGAAAGAGACAGGGACATAGGCTAGTTGAATATTACCTACAGCTCCAAGCCCAGGGCAGAGTACAGGGTCTGCAGTCAATAAATATTTGTTGAATTTACAAATGAATGAACGTACAAACAATAGCGCATAAGAGATAAAAGACAGGAGCGAGGAGGGGAGAAATGTGATTAAACAACAGGGAAGGCAGATTCTGGGGGTAAAGGCGAGGGAGAGAAGACAAAGGATGAGATGATGGATAGGCTGAAGATCCTCTCTGGCAGCTCAGAGTAAACTGGACTTTGAAGCAAGAGTCTAGGAAAGACTGGCAAAGGGAGGGAGGGTGCAGCGGGGATTAGGTCAGCGAGGGAGAAGAAATACAGATTATGCAGACAGGCAGAACAAAATCCACTGCCCATCGAGTCGATTCTGACTCATAGCAACCCTACAGGACCAGAGCAGAACTGCCCCTTTAGGGTTTCCAAGGCTGTAAATCTTTACAGAAGCAGACTGCCACATCTTTCTCCCGTGGAGCGGCTGGTAGGTTTAAACTACCGACCTTTTGGTTAGCAGCCAAGCACTTAGCCACTACACCACCAGGGGTCCTTAGGCAGAACAAAGTCTAGAGTAAGCACTCAGTATTTATGAATGGACTTTGGCTAGAAGAGAGAGCAATCAAAATTGAGTTCTTCCACACTGAAGCCTGAGAACTCTGTCTTGTTGGAGCTCTCTGGGAGTGTCCCCATCTCAGCTCCCTCTTAGGGTCTACTTCTCTATTACTTGCTTAATTTATCAGCTGGCCATTCCTGGCCTATTTGGCCTACTCTATAACTTCAGCCTCAGCTCAGGATTATCATTCAGAATTCTTCCTTGTCTCACTCTTGCTCTCAACTCAATGCAGAACCTCATCCCATTCCAAAAGCCCTATGTCAGTGACCCCCCCACCCTATCCTGGTATGGGGAGCCAAGGTCCAGGGGGTTGAGCACAGCTTCAGGCCTCTATGACTCAGTTCATACTCAGGAGCTAAGGGAGGCTTGATGCCCACCAGTTCTTGACCTCACTGTCCCCACCACATGTACCACACGTGCTTCTCTCAGTATCCTGGCCCTAGATTCTATTTTCACCCAAAGGCCTTTGGGTTCATGTTGGGCTGGGTCAGCTTCAGAAGCTCAGAAGGATGATTCTTCTCTGGTACCGGCCACCCAGAGGAACTGGCAAAGAAGCCAGATATCCAGGCAGCTCTGGTCCTTCCTACTGTCTAAGGCTGGAGTAAGGTAAATGGCCTCCTCACCCCCAGCCCCATAGCACTGACCGGAGAAGTGAAGGGTCCCCTACTTAGGGGCTGTCAGAGCTGGGTTTCCCAACCTTTATGCCTCCCTCCTCAGCTCTGTGTTTACTGTGTGGACTGACTCAGGATGACCTCAGGGTGATGCTTTCTGTCTTCACATCCACCTGCTCCTATTAATAGGCCTGGCTCCTCATCACTAGTCTTTGAACTCAGTGGGGATCTATATGGAGGCATCTAGAGGGTTCTACAGCCCAGACAAGTTCTGGGGGTGTTTGCAAACTCTTGAGGGGGGAACCAAGGCAGGCTCTGGAAGACTTACCAAGAGCTCTGGGGGACACCTATGACAGTGTCTCTCTGGTCAGAACTCTTCTTTTTTTATATCAGGGGCTATCTATCCCAGGATAGACCACAGCTCTCATCACCCTCTCCTTAGGGTTGAGAGCTGGTAGGCTGCCACCCATTCCCTAGAGCTAAAGCTCGACAAGGAAAGAAGTGGATGGGACATGGTGTGCCTAAATGAGGTACAAAGACTGCCCCAGAAGCTCAGGGGAATCTGAAAACCTCCCCCTCACAAATAAAATAACATTGTGTCAGTACCACAGCAGCCACACCATCTTTTCCTACTTTGCCACAAAGTACAAGCAGTTCCCAGGTTACAGAGGAGATCTGTTCCTAAATCTGTCTGTAAGTCGAATTTGTAGGTAAGTCTGAGCAAGTATGTGATTATTTTATTCAGTGTCAGTTAGTCAAATGTTTGTCTTAGTATATATTTTACCTTTCTGTGCATGTAAAACCCTTAAGAGACACTTCCAAATACACTAAAACATAATAATATAGTAATAACAAAAATAACTACACATGGTACTATACGGGAGAGCAGTGCCTGCACTCATTATTACGAACCATTGTATTTAACTCAAATTTTTAATACAATTGGCTTTATAGCAGTCTGTTCTTAAGTACAAGTTGTGCGTAAGTCAGGTGTAAGCGGGAATTGCCTGTACGTATAGCTAATCCCAAAGAGAAAAGACAGTATGTGTGAGGGTGACTGCAGGCCCAGATGTTCCTACCCTTTTCTGCTGAAAAGACAAGAAAATGCTGGGAGGAAGCGGGTTGCAAAGACATGAGACCTGGTCTCACCCTGCAAAACCACGGGCCCAGGATATGCTGGAGATAGGGGCCACTTAACCGGGGGAAGGAGCAAACCTGTTTTTTCACCCCATTGCACCCACCTCTGCTGGAAGCCTTGTGCTGGAACAAGTGAAGCCAAAGGTTCAATGGGGTCTACTCACCTGAAGCCCATGCCCACAAGCTTTATCATGTTGCTTAGGGAGATGCTGTTGGCATTAAAGGGTTTCCTCTTCTCTGCAAACTCATGAGCTAGGCAGATGCGCCAGCCAAAGGGAGGCACCTGGTATCCCCTAGCTGGACCCTCATACAAAGCCATTAGCTGCCCAGAGTTCTCCGGGTTGCAGCAGACCGGCTCATCTTGGGGTCGATCGTCTTGAGGGCTCTCCCAATCTGCGACCTGCACAGCCTCAGCGCCTCCAGTATCTTCAAGGCAACAAACCTGCGAATCCTCTTTGCTGCAGCTGGTCGGCTCCGAAGCTGGGATGCTGGTTTCCATGTTCCCTGTATCCTGGGTCCCTACGACCTCGATGGCCCCGGGTCCCGCGCCCTCTGAAACAAAGTGCCTCGCCAGCCAAGTCCAGATGCGGACGCCAGTTATTGTCAGGTGCTGTCCCGAAGGGCCAGGTGTTGGGGAAACCTGGGGTGAGCTGGTGCCTCTGTAGAGCCGAGGAACTCTTGCTGCAGCGGCGGCGGCGGCGGCGGCGGCGGTGGCAACAGCAATGAAGCCGCCTCGGGCTCTCCCTCGGTTTTCTGGGTCCTGGGAGGGAAGGGTCAGGTCTTGTTGTCATTGGGCCGTGGAGATTAGAGTGCCCGGCCTAAAGGCGGCTGGGCCGGCGGAGAGGGGAGGAGTCCCGGGGCCAGCCCACAAGGCCCCGCCCCCGGGACCGGCCCAGGAGCTCGCTGCCGGCGGCCGGGTCAGGCCGGGGGCCACGGCGGCCCGGTCCCTGAGCCGCCGCACCAGGCCCTCCAGGATTGGGCGCCGGGTCCCGCTGGCGGGCGTCCGGGGCACTCTGCGCCCAGGTTCCGGACCGTGGGAAGGTGACCCAAGGCGCCCCGACCGTCGAGCCCCTTCCGGTCCGGCCATCCGGCGCTTCCGGCCGGAAGGGGCTCAGTCGGGATGCCGAAGGGAAGTCCCGCCCCTGCCGCGCCGCCGACGCCAAGGTTTCCGCAGGTCGGTTGACCCAGTACCGGAGGGCCGGGCAGGTGAGGGCCTCGGTGTCCCGAGACCCCCCGTTTCGACCGTGCGAGTTGCCCGGCGTAGGGGCGCGAGGGGACCGGCGGCCATGGCCGTGGGCGGGGACGTGGAACCTTTAGGGAAGGGGGGCGGAGGCCGGCCTAGTCCCGGCCGGTAAGGGGAGAGGGACAGGGGTCTGCGACCCAGAGGGACGCCTTCCCTCTAGGCAGTACTGAGTAATCTGCCACCCGTTCGTGCCTCCCATCCGCCTACCCACTCCTCAAATTCGCCGCTTCCCTCCGGCACCCGCACCGTGGTGCTGACCGCCCACCTCCTCTGGCCTCACCCCCAGATACTGGCCTGAGACACACCCTTCCTTGCCGTGGTGCTGACCTCCGATCCGCCTTGTTTCTCACTAGATCTGATTCCGGAGCTGCCATGATTGAAGTGGTAGCAGAGCTGAGCAGGGGTCCTGTGTTTCTGGCGGGGGAGGCGCTGGAATGTATGGTGACCGTCACCAATCCCCTGCCTCCCACGGCCACTTCTGCGTGCAGGTGGGGATGCTGGTACTGAAGGAAAAAAGTGGTCCTAACGGGAGGGAGTCTGGTATCTATAGTGCCAGACCGGAGCTCAGGTTGTCCTGTAGTTACACCACCACCACCTTCGTGCTCATTGTGCTCTCATTGTAGGAAAGGGTTATTTAACAGAAGATACGGATGACATAGTCCTCTTCCCCCTCCCTTCTGCCCCTTTAATGCCCATTGTATACTTCTGTTTGTTTAATGGTTTCTCTTGGGGGTTCTGGATTTCCTGATCGCTAGGACTCCCACCTCACCTTGTTGGTCTTCTCTGACTGTGGTAGGGAGTTGAGAGAGCATTTGTGAGGTCAGGGACTACCCTCTGATGCTTCCTTTTCTCTTTCCATAGTGAGGCTCTGGCCTGGGCCAGTGCTCAAATCCACTGTCAGTTCCATGCCAGTGAGAGCCGAGTAGCACTGCCTCCCCCTGACTCCAGTCAGCCAGATGTCCAGCCTGAGAGCCAGACTGTCTTTCTGCCACACAGAGGTTAGAGACAGGGCATTTACCTCTGGAGGGGGATGGAGCCATTGTCATCTAAGGATGAAATTGTTAGATTGTTCCTGCGGGTCGTTATAGTCCCAGTCACATTGGGGATGTGGGGTAATGAAATTACCTCTTTAGGGATCTAACACTATGTTCCTATCTCACACCAGGAAAAGAAGGGTAGCTTAGCTTGAGCTACCCTTTGTTAGCAGCCCTTCACTGCCCCTAGTTGCTGTGCTAGCCTTGTTTAGTACTAAACAGCAGGGTCATTACATTTCTGTCCTTCTCACCTCTTAGGAGAGAGGGGTCAATGTATTCTTTCTACTCCACCGAAAATCCTGTTCTGTGACTTGAGGCTAGAACCTGGAGAGTCCAAATCATGTGAGTGACTGCCCCCTGCCCCTGGATTGCCTTCTAAGTCTCCTGGAGGGAGGACTCCTCTGGCTGCCTCTGGCTGCCCTGACTACTACTTCCCAACCAGACTCCTACAGTGAAGTGCTGCCCATAGAGGGACCACCCTCCTTTCGGGGTCAGTCAGTCAAGTATGTCTACAAACTGACCATTGGCTGCCAGCGTGTCAACTCCCCGATCACTTTACTAAGGGTCCCTTTGAGGGTTCTTGTGCTGACTGGTAAGTAAGGGGTCTCGGAGGGAAGGGCTGGGGAAGAGCCTCACCAATGCAGAAATGGTCTTAGTGGGCTTATGAGAGGGGATGAAGGGAAGTTTCTTGGTCTCAATGAAGACCAGGGAGTTGGGGAGGTACGCTTCTGGACAATAGACTGACATGCGTGCATCTCCTTAGTTTCATTCCTCTCAGGTTGCAGTTTAAAACCCTAACTTCTGCTCTCATTTCTGTTCCCTCCCAGCATTATCTCTCTACTCGTTCTCTCTCTAGGCCTTCAGGATGTCCGGTTTCCCCAGGATGAGGCTGTAGCCCCATCCAGTCCATTCCTGGAGGAGGATGAAGGTGGAAAGAAGGATTCATGGCTAGCTGAGCTTGCTGGGGAGCGCCTCATGGCTGCCACATCCTGCCGCAGCCTCCGTGAGAATCCTTTCCGAACTATTCCACCTCACCCCACCCCTTATAGTATTCTTGTCTCAGAGAGATTCTTCTAACCACTATATTCATCAGTGAGGATCCACTGATATTTCATAGCAGGTTATAAAGAAAAGCCCCACCTTTTGGCCCCTTCTTTCCAGTTTTGGGCATTTGCCAGTGTGGACTCCAAGCTTACAGTTTCCCATTCTCCCTAGATTTGTACAACATCAGTGATGGCCGAGGGAAAGTTGGGACATTTGGCATCTTCAAATCTGTATACAGACTCGGCGAGGATGTGGTGGGGACTTTAAACTTAGGGGAAGGAACCGTAGCTTGTTTGCAGGTGAGAGGAGAGAGGGGCTTCTGGGGCCCTGGGCCTGGAGGGCTAGGATGGAAGGAGGAGAAGGGTGTGCATGAAGAGGGGTAGTATGTAGAAGTGGGTAGTGTGTTCACCCAGGGTCCTTTTGATGGGTTAAACAGCTTGAGGTTGGGCTGCCCTCTCACCTACAGTCAGCACTTCCAAATACCTGCTAGACTGCACCTTTCTTCTTGCTCTCAGTTTTCAGTAAGCTTGCAGACTGAGGAGCGGGTACAGCCTGAGTACCAGCGGCGTCGTGGGACAGGGGGTGTCCCTTCTGTGTCCCATGTGACTCACGCCCGGCACCAGGAGTCCTGCTTGCATACAACCAGAACCAGCTTCTCCCTCCCCATTCCTCTCAGCTCCACTCCAGGCTTCTGCACAGCAATTGGTGAGACTATGATCCTTATGGGGATGGAGTAGGGGGTGGAGGAAGGCGAGTCAAATGCTGTGCTTAGGTAGAGTGTAATGGATCCTGATTCCTAACACACGATCATACCCACAGCTGGTCTCTTTCTGAAACCTTCCTTCAACCTCTACTCCTGTTTCCTGGACCCACTGACCCCTAAACTCTTAACAGCTCTGCAGATTTCCTTCCCCACCCCTACCTGTTGGAACGCTGGGATGCACTGATCTCTGATCCCCCATCAATTCAAGCTAGCTAGTCTTGACTGTCCTACTTTGGGGTTATTAGGTACTTGACACTGCTTTCCTTATCTCACTTCTCTGGCTTACATACAAGATTTCTTCAGAAAAACCCTTGATCTTAGTTCCCTGACCTGTGACTTCTCCTTCTCTTCCTGAGTAGAGTTTTCATTCACTAACCACATCCTGTCATTGGCTTTTACTTCTTCTGGCTTCTAATGCTTCTACCTATTTATTTATTTATTTTTTCCCAGTGTCCCTGAAGTGGCGATTGCATTTTGAATTTGTCACATCCCGAGAACCAGGTTTGGTGCTCCTACCCCCCATGGAACAGCCTGAGCCTGCCACCTGGACAGGGCCTGAGCAAGTGCCCGTAGACACCTTTAGCTGGGACCTCCCCATCAAGGTGCTGCCTACGAGCCCCACCCTGGCCTCATATGCTGCCCCAGGCCCCAGCACCAGCACCATAACCATCTGAAACTGGCCCAACTGCCTACTTGTCTTCAGGATACTGAGAACCAGCACCTGGACTCTAGTAGGGCCCACTTTTCCCACCTGGGGCCCAAGGGCATGGACAATGAGAGGCAGGCTTTCAGCGGTAGCATTAACTTATTTATTCAGAATAAATTCGTAGCTGCTAGTGGTTTCCCTGGAAGTGGCAGCAGCAGTGGGCAGTCAGCATAAGGGTGATCAGATGAATTTAACTGGAGTGGGGAGCAGGAGCCCCAGGATCAGGAGTGTTAGCTGAGCCCCACTCTGGGTTGGGCCCTCCCCCTTTGCAGGGCAGTCGGGGGTCAGATTTTTGCACCAGGGAGAACTGGCAGGTTCCTGCCTCCTGATGTACCTCACATCCAGCAGGGAAGTCGATGGGATGCTGGGACCTAAGGAACCAAAGGATGGGGAAGGAGTCAACAGAGTGAAGGATCACCTATATTCCTGCCCACATCCCTCTCTCCCAGCATTCCTCCCATATCTTCCTTCAGTGCTTCTCTGCTCCCCCTCACTAAGCTCTAGCCTGCCATATATGGACTTTTTCATTTCATAGCAGAAATATTTTCTTTTCAGATATACCCTTGCCTCCCTCACTTTTTAGTCTGATGCCTTATTTTTCACACTTCTGTTGGTACCTTCAGGTTTGGCCTGTCTCATACTGCTGTTCTGTTCATTGTCACATCACAGCACTCAAGTCACTCCCTGGCCATCCCTTAGCCACTCATGTCTCTGGCCATCTGTGGTCACTCACGTGTCACAGCAGCCCACACCGACAGGATGCAGACAGGTACAATGGAAACAGTCCTTGCGGAGCCAAGACTCGCCCAGGGTAAAATATTTCCCCTCATAGTGACAGGGGGCTAGGGAAGAATGGGAAATGTTAGTGTATGTGGGAGTGGTAGAGGCAGACAGATTCCTTTCTGATCTGGGTGGAAGAGAGTAAGAGCACAGTCCCCCATATTTAGTTTTCCTTTTCTGCTTTAGAGTTGGAAGGAGTTTAGGTATTATGCCATTCCAACACAGGATCATCACTAAGCCCTTCACCCCAACACCCTCTGCTCCTTGTCCTTTCCTGACACCTCCCCCAGCTTTACCTTGAGCTTGGAAGTAGCACTTGCTGTGGACTCCTGGGTGCTGGAGGAGTAGAGACATCACCAAGCAGATGATCCCCTGGCTTCCCAGGGTCCCCTTGGCCTGTCCAGGCCAGAGCATCTTCAGGGCCATTCCTGCAGCACAGCCCTCTTGGACACTTCGTGGCTTCTGTCTCCTTGGCTTTTCTTTGCTTCTTTCCTTGACTTTCTCTCTTTCTCCCTTGGGCTCCTGTCTCATACCATCTCAGTGCCCTCTGCTCTCATAGGCTTGGGGATGTTTATAAAGTGAGGACCCTGGCCCCCTGCTGAGCAGAGCTGGAAAAGCTGTAACTCTGCTTCCTGAGGTGAGGGCATGAAAACAAGAGGTGTAGCTTTAACAAGCTGTGAGTGCTGATTCATGCCCCAGCACAGCTAGGGGGAGGGAGGTGGCCATGGAAGGGGCACTGGACTGGGCACTACCCCTGCAAGGAGTTGGGAGGGGTAAGGGCCCCCAGGTGGTCCCCAGATCTCTTCCCTGGCCTGGAGAAGAGGAAGCATTCCACTCCCTCTCCACCCCCCCCTCCATCCCCCACCACACACACACTCCAGGGGTGTGTATGCTGGGATCCCTGCCTGCACCGGAGGGAGGCATTTCCTGGGGCTGGCTAATCCTGTGCCCTAGCCAAACCAAGGAGCTGAAGTGGGGTGCGACAGCCAGAGACTCCAGGAGAGGAAACAGACACCTGGAGTGGAGAATGTGTTTCCCTCAGATTCTGGGGCAAGGTCTTTTTGAAGTAGCCTAGAGATGGGGCTGCTCTTCTGAGATGGGGAGGGGTCTCCACTGCAGGCATCCCAGAGGTGAACTATCCATTGTGCGTTACTTTAAGACATATAGCAGATGCAGAAGCATACCTGGAGATGGTTCTTGCCTCCTTTTCAGAGAGGAGCATCTCTAAATGCCCTAATGGTTGAGTCACTCCAATTTCAGAGGTGGCCCGTCTTTCTTCCTCTACAGGATGGAATGAGATTTTAGGAATTTATCCTCGACATCCCTCTCTTGAGTTTTCTGAAGTTTCTGTAGGATCTCAAGATGGGTGATTAAGAGCATAGGCCATGGAGTCAGACTACCCAGATTGAGATCCTGACACCACTTACTAGCTGTGCAACTTTGGGCAGGTTACTTCACCTCTTTAAGCCTGTTTCCTCATCTATAAAACTAGAGATAATAATGCCAACTCATAGCGTTGTTATGAGGATTAAATGAGGTAATACATGTAATGTTCCTAGCATTGTCTGGCACATGTTGTTGTTGTTAGGTGCTGTCGAGTTGGTTCCGACTCAGAGCGACCCTGTGTACAGCAGAACGAAACACTGCCTGGTCCTACACCATCCTTACCATCATTGCTATGTTTGAGCTCATTGTTGCAGCCACTACATCAGTCCATCTCGTTGAAGATCTTCCTCTTTTTTCTGAGCCTCTACCAAGCATGATGCCCTTCTCCAGGGACTGGAGCCCTCAGAAAAGATTACTTACTGTGACTGGTGCTAGAGCTGAGAGACTTTCCTTTGAATGACATTGAGCAGCTCTGTGCGCACAGCTGAGGGGTTCTGTCGGAGGCTGCTGTCTCCTGGTATAGACTTCTACCCTGTCACACTCGTGCTCCATGTCATCCCTGCCACCTCCTTCAAAAACAGATACCTCGAAAAGCATTTTGGTTTTGATCCTTGTATCCTTGAAATTCTGAATATCTGATTTGAGAAGCAATGGTGCTGATAAACACTGCTTGCTTTCTTCAGGTCAGTACCCTCATCTCTACCCTGGAAAAGTCCTAAAGTTAGGTCCTTCTGGATAACTCCATTTCTTCCTATCCCCACTCGGAACTCTTAAAGTTCTCCTTTCTGTCCAGTCTAATGCTAGCCGTCTCTTTGGTATAAGGCCCTTGCAAACTGGATTTCTTTTTTCACTTTTCCACACTTCAAAGATTTGTTCCAGCTTTTTCCTTCTTATCCACAGGGTAAGATCACTTTGGCATTTGTTCCATTTTTTCTTGTTAGGTTCCAGTCCCATTTATTCGAAGACTGTCTGTCACCCAGTGGATCAGATACAACTGCTTCAGGGTTTTTCAGGAGCCCTGGTGATGCAGTGGTTAAGAGCTCAGGCTACTAACCAAAAGGTTGCTTGTTCGAATCCATCAGCCACTCCTTGGAAACCCTATGGGGAAGTTCTACTCTGTCCTATAGGGTCGCTATGAGTCGGAATCGACTTTGATGGCAATAGGTTTACCCTGCCGCTTACCTCTTCACCATTCAGAAACAACTTCAGTCCACCTCTAACTCCTTAGCTGTCCTCTTCCGGGAAGATAGATTGGATGGAGATTCAGAATGCACCACACATGTACCCTAGTCTGGTCTGAACCCTTTCCATATTAGAGTACCAAGAAAAAAACTCACCCTTGTAGCAGGGTGCCTGTAGGCTGGGGGTGGGGGAGGGCTGGTGGCCTTGGCCTCCTCTTGACTGGAGCAGGTGGATTAGAAGGCCTGTCTAGCACAGGGACCCAGAAGTCTTAGTGGTCAGTAGCCCTGCTGCTGCCTTTCTGAGCTGACACCCTGGAAGGCTGGGCCATAGACTACCTTCTGCTACTGTAAACCGGAGCCACCCTGGTAGGGGAAGGATGAGAGTGGGAAGCTATTAAGCATGAAGGTGGTGGTGGTGGTGGAAAGTGACGGGGGCCCAGTGGGGATGAGGGTGGGGTGAGGGGATGGGGACAGAAGTGAGAGCCCCTTGTAATGAAAATGAGGCAGGCGTATTGCTGGGGTGGGGGGTGGGGAGCTTGCGGGTGTAGGGGAGTTTGGAATGAGAGAGACTGGGGCTGAGCGAAAATCCCACTGCTGGAAGTTGGGGAGCAGTGAGGAGGTGTTGGTTGAACCAGCTTGCATGCCTGCGGGTGTGTGCACAGCCATGTGTGCGCCGGTGGTGCTTGCGTGCGCGCGCGCGCGCGCGCGCGCGTGTGTGTGTGTGTGTGTATGTGTGTGTAGGGGGTGGAGGCGCAGGGTGTATGTGTGTAGGGGGTATTTTTCTTGGGAGTGGCGGTGGGGTGTGTGCGTGTGTGTGCGTGTGTGTGTGTGTGTGTGTGTGTGTGTAGGGGATGTCAGTGGTCATCGCTGAACTCTGACTCCTGAAGGAGAGGCCGCTTGGGGCGCCAGTCGTGGGGTGCGCGGCGGTTGGCGTGCAGGGCCGGGAGGGGGCGGTTGGCGCGCGCCGCCCCACGCGGGGACAAGGAAAACATCCGCCGGAGGCCCGGCTGGGCGGCGCTCCAGCATCGCCGGGCAGGTGCGCGGGGTGAGGAAGTCAACACATTCCGGCACCCCCGGCCGGCTGGCCCTCGGGTGAGTCACCGCAGACCCTCGCCGCCGTCGTGCGGCCGGATAGGAGGGACCAGCCGCGGCAAGGAGGGAGAGAAGAGCGGCCTCGGGAGGGTCGCAGGCCTGGGGAATGATATGGAGGCTGGAGCCTCCGAGGAGGCGCTTTGCGGGAGGGATCATTGGGAGGGTCGTGGAAGAGCCCCAGAGAGATTGGGTGGGGAAGCTTCTGACAGTTTATGGAGGAAAAGACTTCCGCGGGCGCGCATGTCCTAGTTTCTGCACAGGCATGAAACAAAATAGACTTAATACAGTTTGTGGCTGAATGGAGGCAGGTGGGGGGGGAGCCCTTGGAGAACGTTGTGGGGCCGGGAGAAGACCCTATATTGCGTGCGGTGGAGAGGGAGAGGGGTGCGGAGCTCACGGGGGGTGGGTGGGTTGTGAGGGCAAGGAGGGGAAAGGTAGGAGTTCGGGGACAGGTTTGGGGCTGAGCAGCGAGCGCTCCGTTGACTTGAATTACAGAGGGAACGCGCCACTTTGGGCCTTGGAGAACGGAGAGAATTTAGATGGAAGGGAAGAATTCCACATCAGGTGGGAAGATGGGCCAAGCCCCAGAGATAAGATCTGTCTAGGGGCCTCTGTGAAGAGGGAAGGGTAGGTTTTGGGGAGTAGCAGGAGTTGGGGTTATTTGGGTACAAGTAGCTAAGTCATTAAAGGCTTTGAATGCCAGAATGAGGAATTTGACTTTGGTCTCAAAGTTAGAGTGGAGCCATTGTTGGTCTCTGAGCAGAAAGAGTAGTGGGAGTCTTCAAAGTGAGGTTATCAGTGTCTGGCATTACTGCTTGCCATTCAGTTTTTGTCAAAAATTAAGTACTGATCTAATTTTTATAGTCATGTAAAATTTTCATGAACAAATTTAGCAAACAATATATGTGATTTTGTTGAGTTTTAAAAAATTTAAAATAAAAATAGAAAAGTTGAAAAATCTGATTCAGTATTTCATTTAAAACCCAAAGTGAGGCTATCAAGATTAATTCTATGGTGTTGAGCCTCTTCCTTTGTCTTGATTTTATGCCATTTTCCCCTCACTAATCTGACTGGATTCTGCGTCGCTAATGTCTCAGTTCTTCTCTACGAGTAGCTTAGCACTTCTAGTCTTCCTTTTCTGCATCTTACTGTCTTTATCTTTAGCCTTAGCTTATTTCTGTGCCGTCCTTTAACCTGGACCAAGTAAAACATTTCTTGGGATGGGGGGCATTGGGCTACAGTATACAAAGACAAGGAACTCACAGTTTTACCATAAATGTTAGGTTACTTACCAGCTTCTGTGGACATGTATGTAATTATTTTCTGTATTGACCCTGCAGCTGATAGAGAAAGCTAAAGTTGTTTTATTCACATAGTATTTCCACAACATGGCAATTTGTTAGCCTGATTTCTCTTCTAAAATTAACTCTAAATGGCATTTGGTACTTGTCTCAGAAATTGACACTAAGGCTATCATGACCCTTATAATTTATGTTATCTTGGACAATTATAAGGATTAAGGATCTTTATAATTTATGTCAAAGATCCTTAAACCCTGCAATGGCCCTTGCCCCTTCCCCCCACCACAAGAAAATCTAGGTCAGTTAATGAAAAATAGGAAATTATTTCCTACTTTGGGCCCTGTTTCTTTATCCCCTGCAGTTTCAGCCCTAGCCCTACCTTATTCCCAATGGCCCTTTTCTTCATTCCTTCTTTGCTCTGCTGGGCATCTTTAGAGGAAAACTTCACACCGACTTCCTCTACTATAAATTCTCTCCCTCCCCTCAACTCTACACTTCTCTTTGCCAACATACACCACTGCTTCTTTGAATTTTTTTTTTAAACCCACAGCCCTTTCTGGATCTTTTCCATCTTTAAAACTCTTTTTGAAATCCTCTTTTTCC